TCATTGTTTCGTCTGCAGGAAGTTGACGTAAGTTTGTTTGATTCTATATTATAACTTAATTCTTAGGAAGGAAACCTAAGTGAACTCAATCATTAATTATTTGTAATTTGTAAAAACGTTACACTATTAACACACGTGATAAAATATATTTTATTTCAAGAATCACAAAAATCTACAACCATAATATACAAACAAATAAAATACTGTTATAAATACCTTGATCATGTATAAATAGAATCTTTGGCTCGTAGTGGCGGTTCTCGCATTGTACTGCAACAACAAAGAGAGAGTTGAAATTCAATTCTGAATCTCCGCAAGGCTAAAAAAGAACCGAAAAATTCAGAAAAAAAAATTCTCTTTGCCGTCGTCCACAAACTTCTCCTTGACATAGGGACCTAAATGGAATACTTTAGTACATTAACTCTTTGCCATTTGCGCTGTCTGTGACGTTATAGTAGCATATGTGCAGCTTTCAGTGAGTCAAGACGAAGTTTTTTGTTGTCTGTTGATGTTGTGAGGTCAGTTACGGAGGTTGCTTGATCAGTAACGCTCATCATTGGAGTTGACGTGCTTACATCAGTGCGAGGCGTTGATGTTGGCTGGAGTGTATTGTCTGTGGTAGATGATAGGGGTGTAGAAGATAATCGAGGCGTACTAAAAATTGTTAATTCAATGTTTTCGGTTGGTGTGTCTGGGGGTGGTGCGGACACATGGGGAGGTGCATGGTATCGACCGTTCTGGCAATGAACATGCTTTTTCAAACATCTCTTCAGTAATATGAGGATGATAGCCACGGTGGTTGCTAATGCCAACATGAAGAATCCTAATGATGTAGAAAAAATAATGTATACAGAAATATTGACATAGTATTTAATAACACTTCATTATGAGTATCACTGCCAGTATCACTATCATCTGAGTTGCATGAATATTTTTTCTCATAAACTAGCTCAGATTTTTGTCTCAATTTATAATGTATTTTTTTACCATGTTGACCTTAATAACTATCTGGATTTACTTTTCTTCTATTGCATTGTACAGTGACAATTTAGCTTATCTTTCATAGACATACGAGGGTCATTCAAAAAATACGTAGACAATGCTTCTCATCGTCATTTAATTATTACAAGATTATCGATCAACACATTTTCGTAAACTTAAACATTTATTTTGTCGAAGTGTGAAGTTTCATTCCATTTGATTAAGTAGAACTCATGTTAGCCAAAATTTAAACCAACATGTTTTGTTACCACGGAGCACGGTTAACCAACACTGTAACGTCAAAGACAACGTTGAGAAAGTTTGTCAAAATTATACTAATTTTCTTAATTTCAAACACGGTTTGTAGCGTCTTCTTCATTCAAAAAAACATATCCATAACACTTAACACCTAGTTTGCGAACAATTGTACAAATATAGCTTAAATAAGAATGTCATTGTTTTCAAATTCTTTAATTTACTGTGTAACTCTATTAATTCTGCAACAGTGAAGCACACATCACGTTCAATGACGTTCCTAACTCTTTCGAAAATATTTTTAACATTAACCTGTTACTTTGCAGACAATCCATCGTCCGATTCAAACTCCCTACTACTCAAAAATTGTATTTTCCATTTAATACAAATACACAGATTATTTTTCATACAGATCCTAGTTTATACGGACTTTTTAAGCTTGTAGAAGAAGTTTTTCGAATGTAAAGTACAATTTTATTGCTACTTGCTGCTCCGTGACGTCCTCCAACGTCATGGTTTTTTGCTTTTTTAATCAAGTCCATATGTATTTAGAAACTTATATCTTTTAAATGGAGCGACATATTACATAACCTGATTTCATTTTAATTAATACGGCAATACTTTATTTAAACATGTAAATTCTATTTCGTTTTAGCTCCATTTATTAGAGGTATGGCTGTAAATACTATAAAGTGAAAATTAGTAAATTACTCAATTTTGACGGTGCTCCGTGACCCCATTTTTGCTGTTCTAAATCCTTGGTAATTTTTATAAATATGAAGATACATTCCAATTTTTTTACTCAAATTATTTGAATCTGTTGTTAAAATATTTGTACCAAATTTGGATATAATATGACGTTAAATAAAAAAGTTAGGACAAAAGTCTACGAACTTTTTGAATGACCCTCGTACTTACTACAAATCACTAAAATTGTATACTTTAACAGTAACAGAATGGAAGTCTGACCTGTAACTCCAGGCTCGTCAAAAATATTTCCAGGACTTGAACTGTTTCTGTAGTTGTCTTCTTGCGAGGAGTTTCTTTAGTTGTTTTCTTGTGAGGTGTTTCTGTAGTTGTTTTCTTGTGAGGAGTTTCTGTAGTGGTTTTCTTGTGAGGAATTTCTGTAGTTGTTTTCTTGTGAGGAGTTTCTGTAGTTGGCTTCTTGCGAAAAGTTTCTTTAGTTTTCTTTTGAGAAGTTTCTGTAGTTGTTTTCTTGTGAGGAGTTTCTGTAGTTGTCTGTAGTTGTTTTCTTGTGAGGAGTTTCTGTAGTTGTTTTCTTGTGAGGAGTTTCTGTAGTTGTTTTCTTGTTAGGAGTTTCTGTAGTTGTTTTCTTGTAAGGAGTTTCTTAAGTTGTCTTCTTGTGAGGAGTTTCTGTAGTTGTTTTCTTGTGAGGAGGTTCTGTAGTTGTTTTCTTGTGAGGAGTTACTTTGTTTTCTTGTGAGATGTTTCTGTAGTTGTTTTCTTGTGAGGAGTTTCTGTAGTTGTTTTCTTGTTAGGAGTTTCTTTAGTTGTCTTCTTGTGAGGAGTTTCTGTAGTTGTCTTCTTGCGAGGTGTTTCTGTAGTTGTCTTCATCTTAGGAGTTTCTATAGTTGTTTTCTTTTGAGGTGTTTCTGTAGTTGTTTTCTTGTGAGATGTTTCAGAAGTTGTTTTCTTGTGAGGAGTTTCTTTAGTTGTCTTCTTGTTGGGAGTTTCTGTAGTTGTTTTCTTGTGAGGAGTTTCTGTAGTTGTCTTCTTGTTGAAACTTATGTGAAAGCATTCTTGGGTGGTGTAGATTTTAAATTGTTCAAATCATGACTCCCTTGGGAAGGACGGGGCCACAATGGGGAATCAAAGTTTTACATAGAAATATATAGGAAAAATCTTTGAAAATCTTCTTCTCAAGAACCACTGGGCCAGAAAAGTTGAAACTTATGTGGAAGCATTCTTGGGTAATGTAGATTTTAAATTGTTCAAATCATGACCCCCAGGGGAAGGGTGGAGCCACAATGGGGGGGATTAAAGTTTTACATAAAAATATATAGGAAAAATCTTTGAAACTCTTCTTCTCAAGAACCACTGTTCTAGAAAAACTGAAACTTAGTTGCACAATTTGCAATGGAAAGATCCTGGGGTAGTTGATTTCAAAATGCCTTAATCAGATCAGTGGGGTAGGGTGGGGATACATTATGTATTACAAAAGGGGAAATTTGGTAAAGAACAGATTGGTCAAAGCTTCTCCGGTGAGCGATGTGGCCCATGGGCCTCTTGTAAAAATACCTTGATAACATTGATGCAACTTTTTGATTTTTGTCCTTTTCCCTTCTTCGTTGAGACTAACTCTTCTAACGCAGGTAGTTAAGGCCTAAAAAATTATGTTTGTTTCCTGTAACCCGACAGACCCATTCAAATTATCACTAGGTTGATTTTTTCCCGACAAATGGAAAAACTACACTTGATTAATCAGCTGAGTCCATTTATTTCTTTGAAAAAAAAAATAGCTTGTAGCTTAACTTGAGATATAAAATATGTCGACCTAGTTTACATTTACGTTACAGCTCTACGGACACTTCAACTACGTAACAAATTTAATTCTATTATATAATTACTTTACATGTACACATCTAATTGGGTAGGGTCATGTTTGTTTAATTAGGATAGTGTCGTTTATATCATTAAACTTACTCCAAGCAGGAGAAATTCTTCCTTCAGCCTTGAGCACGTTTCTGTCAGCTATGTAAATTGGAAATATTATAAATGGTGTTATATAAGATACAATAATTATTTAACTGTTGTAATAAGTTTGATACTTTAAGTCTTAAGAATAATTACCTGGTTTCCACAGGTGGCAAAATGGAATTCCTCCAGCTTTTTGGTGTCCGAGAAATATTTTAATCCATTTGGGGACCCAAATATGGAAGGCTTACCATCATAGAAAGCCAAACCACCTCTTAAGACTATTGATGAGTTTACACAAAAATATAAAATAATAATTGAAGGCGAGTCCACTTTCAAAATGTTCTAGTAATTTACTGGTATTTTTTTTTAATTTGAATACCCTGAATAAATCATTAACTAATTTAAACAGCCATAAAAGACATATCTTTGCAAGTTAATTTTCATTAAACATGCATCAGAGAACAGACCTTTAAAAAATCATCATCAAAAATTGAAAATAAAAAGAAGTGCCATATCATATTTTATTAAGTAAAGCACCAAATCACAATATATTGAAATTATTAATTTATATGTCATTTTTTCTTTAAAACTATAAAGAATTATATCTAATGTAGAATTTCTTGAGTCCTCTTCGTCTATTTAGAGTTATGTGAGCTCCATTAAATCAACTGAACTTACTGGGTTGGTGATAGATAATAAATTCCTTGTAATGAACTTTTCTTGATCCGCGCCACTTGTTATTCCCTTTCTTTACTCAGATGCTTTTAGAGAGTAGGCATTTTTCTGTTCAGGAGTAACTTATCTCCAGGAGGCTTATATCTGCCTATAATATGATTTTTAAAATAAAGTTTATGACAATTCTGTATTTTGATGATTACTTCAAAAAACGTTATATGTACTTTAATATTTCTTAATTATATGTTATACATTATCATTTTCATATAGGAACGACTTTACTTGACCGGCCACAGAAAAACACGCTAAAATGTAGTGTCGCCAAAGTCGACTTCAGTATATATGAGATCGCGTAAGGCGATCGAAAAAAAAGTTGAACATGGAGATGTATATGAAAGAGTGAATCAATCACGCAGTACAGTTAAGGCAACACATGAAAAAAAATATGGTAATGAAGTCATAATGAGGCCTGACGTCATGACAGTTGCTCCGCCCTGATTGATCCATATAAGGAAATGGTGCTCAAAATAACTATTTACCGATATTGGTAACAATTTGTATTAAACAACAATATCTTCATGTTTAAATAGAAAATAATTAGTGATTTTCTCGTATATAAAATAGCATGTCTTTAAAATAATTCTCTTTTTAACGTGTCGTTTGTCTGCATTCGGCTTCAGCCAAGCGCTTGCACTCGGTGACACGGAATGTTGTTTACATCTAAAAACGTGGCGACATCAGCTGAGATTTGCAGTGGATTTAAATGCAATAACCACACAATCTTTAAAGAAAATAGGGATAGAATAAGAGACAAGGCATTGCTTCTCCATTTAACAAGAATATGAGGACATTATTTCGGAAAATAGCAGAAAACCGAGACGATTTGCACCAGCTCTAGCTCCGTAGATCAATCACTGCACTGTAATTCCAGGCCAGGTATGTATACGCATATGTAGGTACATGTATAGATCTACAATATGTAGACATGCTTTTGTTAACATAAAAAAAAACCGAGTGTGTTCATGCTCATTTAAATGTATTAGTACAGTCAGTGAAAAACTGTAATTATGCAGTGTCTTGTGTGTAACAACCCCCCCCCCCCCCTACTAAGTTGCACACTTTTTAGAATTATTAAAAATTAATTGCACTAAATATGTACTGAGTTCCTGTCAATTAGCTCATTTTCTTTGAAACAATATGTGTGATAATGGAGATCATCAGTAACACAAATTTAAACTAAATTGAATGAGATGTTTTCATTGTTTCAGTCAATGATTCACTAGTGACTAGGCCTAAACAAACAATGATGTATTTTTGACATACAAATATGCTACACAATTTAAAAAAAAATATCCGTAACATTGTGTTGAAAACATAAAAGCCCCACTTCAGATCTATGGTTCTAATTTTCTAGAATTTATAAACAGGTCGAAGAAACTATTTTCTGTGACGTCGGAATAAATTTACATGTTAAGTGAGGAACCAACGTGACTGACAAATCGACCAATCAGCTCAATGAGTTGCATTATGGTTTACTATAAAATACTACACGTGTGTTTCTAAAAGGCCAATTTTTTAAATCGCTCTCGGAAAAACGTGATGCATTTTTCCAAGCATTTTACACACTTAATACAATATGAAAATCATTATCTACTAATTCCATGCTCACATTTATATACAAATGATTTACAAGGATAAAAATTAGAGTTTTCTCCAATCCATTGTACAAGTCCGTTTGTTGACAGCTTTCCCCGTGCTGTGCTGTCGGTGAAAAGTCAATTTCACGTGACTATTCCTTGGTCCAAAAACAATCAACTCTGAGGTGTGCTCACGTATTGTCAATGTTTCCAACGTATACAACTTCGAAATATATGCTACTCACGTTCTATGATCAATGTGCATGAGTGTTTATATAACAGGTAAATAATTTTTTTTAAAAAAGTGCATCTTAAAGAATTCTTTTTTTTTTTTTTTTTTAGTTTATAACATCCAATTTTAATTTCTAGTAACAAATAACTGAGCAACAACTAATTTAACCAGAAACATGGCAAATTAACGAATATCAAGTTAAAAACTTGAGTCTTATTTACTTGTGAAGACTTTGCGAGCGGTATTTCAAAGTACTATTTAACAAGGAAAACTTACTTTGTTTGTTAATGTGAGCATGGGGAATCTTAATTAGTACCTAATCTTCGTTTTTTTCAAAACACAATTCAAAAAAATTGTTAGCTGACTTTCCTGCAGTCGCTTGAAATTGCGTCCTAAATTTCCCTGACCCACGTGTTTGTAGTAAAAAATAAACATATAGTAGACCATCATGCTTTTCGGCTCATTCACTGTATTGGACCATTGCTTGCTGTGAGCACCTCTGTGCGCAATCGCAACAATTTCCATATAAGGTAGTTTCCTCGACCTGATAAATTAATGAAAAAAAAAATCATTTTTTGTTTAGATTACATGTACATTAAAAATATTTATATCATACTTTTATCATTGTAGCTGTCCAGAGTTTCAGGCTTAAAGAGTGAATAAATAAAAAATGCATCATTTCTCCACAGGGTATGTATACTTCTAAAGCATTTCACATTTTCAAAGTTTGCATGTGCTTTACATATTGTTTTTTTTTTTCATTTTGGTAAAGAAGAAACTTAGAATTTTTTTTATAGAAAATATTCTTTCAATAACTATTGTAAATATCAGAGGTTTCACTTTCCCAGAGAAGTTTTGTAACACATTTTTTTTTCATTTATATCAATAACATAAATTCACTACAATATACAATGTAGCATAATTTGTTTTGTCAAATGTAATGCCATTTTATCCTTCAATGTATATTTAGTAATCTCATAGCATATAACTGCATATATATTGTGTTGTAGGCCTAGCTATTCCCAGATGTTGGACAAATGGATTCATTCAGGCAGCAAGTTAATCCATCATTTAATGGTATGCTCAATATAAGCAATAAACCATACAAAGTTTTGATAATAAAACTAACAGAAGAATTGAAAACATGTGTAGTGGACAGTATATAGGGAACTTATACTGCATCGCCAGTGAGCTTGCTTTTCTGGTGATGCGGTAGAGTCTCCCTCTATTTCAGGCAAAGTTAAGCAACGGCGAGCCTGTTTAACCTTTGGATGGGTGACCGCTTCATGTTACACATGTATGTAAATTCTATGTTAAATGTTTCCATGCAATTTTTTCTTTCATTTTTAAAACACAAATTACTTTCAATAATGGTATTTCCTGATTTTCTCCTATTTTCAGAATTCATTTTATCCACAAGAACATGAAGAACATGAGGTGATGGAAATAATTTGCACCTGCCCAGCATTCCTACAGTCTGTCATTGGATTTGAAAAGAAATGTTTATTAAATAAATTTTCTAGATGAATAAAAATTTGACTTTTTCATATATTTACTGTACAGGTGTTGAAAAGGCCATTAAGATATGAAAATCTTAACTTCTTACTATTTTGTGTGGAGGGTACTAATGATCATCAAGATCATATTTCCAGCATGTGCATTGTGTTCATTTATCTTTCAATAATATTGCCAAAAACAGGAGACTAGAGATCCTCCTAATTGATTCAAAATAGGATAGGGGACCACCATTTGTTCTGAGGGAAGGGGGGGGGGGGCAGGCGAGTTTTCCCAAGTCAGATTTTTTTTCATTTTCATGTCAATGAAGGACAGATTAATATTTATTTCCGATCAATAAGATGAAGGACAGATTATTTATTTATTTTCCTCTTCATTAAAAATACTACATGCAAAAAAGAAATGTAAAAAAAACTCTGATTCATGGGAGGGGGAGTTCACTGATCTGCAAGTATTTATTTTTAAAATCTGCCAGTCCCTCACCCTCAAAATAAAATAGCTGTCCCCTTAACAAATACAGGAGTATACCCCAATTCTTTCATATTAGTACCTTAAACTTATAACTTAGTTTATATCCCTTAATTAACAGTAAGCGGTCTGATTGAAAGCGATCGTAGAAAATGACCTCGTATGCAGAAAGAAAAAAAAAAACTATTAACACAAGTGTGTGTACCATAGGCGTCGGAAGCAAAATGAAAGGGGGCTGATTGAAAGGGGGTGGGGATGGGGGGGGGGCTAAGCCAAAAGAAAACGGCAAATTACAATGCCTACATTATGTATATATAATTTGCAAATAAGTAGGGAGGCTAAGCCCCCCCTACCCGGTTCCGAGGCCTATGCGTACAGTAGTGAGAGAGGGGAATAGATATCTAATTAATTATTAATGAAGGCTATATTTTAATTAACCATTTGTGTTCTACATAAATATATCGGCAATATTTATACCCATTTGTGTGTAATACTACGTGTATATACACATCGTTGAGGAAATGCGGGAGGTTTGAAAGACATTAAATGTATACAACGTATGGAGAACGAATACACAGAAAAGAAAGAAATGTCAATGATTTTTATGTATACCGTTTGATTTAGTAAAAAAAAAAAGTCAAGTCCTGCCCGCATGTATGTTTATTTTAAATTTACGAAGTAAACATACTATATCAAGTACTCCAGAGTTATTTCCCATGCTGGGTCAGTGATGCGTTTGAAAACTATAATTAGATTGACTCTTCCAAGATTTCATTTTTTAATCAAAAAGTGCAAGGGCAAGGCGACAATCTAAAAAGTAGGTTTTTATTTTAAATTATTTATTGTATTGTATAGTTTTCAAAAAGTGATGCTCATTACTTTGTAATCCTTTAGTTAATTTATAATTCGTGATGAAATTAGGAAAATATCCTATTTTTCCTACATTACTGTCTATTTTAGCTGAATAACTTAATTATATCGGAAAACTAACTGAATGAGCATCACTTTTGAGAAAGTATAGATACATAGAGACAACATAAAACATTGTGCAGTTAATTTTTTGTTTGTCTTGCCCTTGCACTTTTTGGTTAAATTTGACATTTCATTTTTTGACCTAAAATCGGAGCCCACGTGACTTCAGGGGGTCACATGATGTCAAAAAATACCGATGTGAAAAGCGATGGACATACTCTTCAAGATCACAAAAAGCTGTTTTAACTAGAGTGTCTTGCTAAAAAATAAAACTGTTAAACATTATATGTATCGGATTCCGTGACATTTTATAGAAAATGTTGCCTTAACTGTACTGCGCATTTGGCATCATAAGAAAACAAATTCATTTAGAGAGAGAGTTAAAGCAGAGACATTGGCATTAGAAGTAAGCGCCAAGCATCAAAGTGATTATTTTAAGTAAGATTAGCAGACTTTACAGACATCTTAAACCTATTAAGGTTTTAAATATCTAAAATAATGATTGAATTATGAAATATTTATTCAATAAATCTTGATCTGTGAACTGCAACAATATTAAATAGCCCCCCCCCCCGCCATTTCAGCATTTGATGATGGTTTTCCTTTCTCATTCATCGCTTTGATTGATTGTGCCTCTCCGTACAAATTGTGGATCTCTCTCTAGTTCTTTAACTAAGCAATTTGACATCATGCAGCATACAGATATAAAAAGAGCAAATGCCAGATATAAAAAAAGGAATCTTTTTTTTTCACGGAGAACATATTCCAGAAGAATTACCGTTCACTGTAGCCTAGTGGTAGAGTGTTCGCTTCGTGATCGGGAGGCCCGGGTTCGATTCTCGTTCCCGGCGCCGCGTCAAACCTAAGACGTAAAAAAAGGTAGCGACTGTTCGTTCGCTAAGCGCTCGGCACTAGAAGTGAAAGTCACGGGTCTTTCGGATATGACCTTAAAAACGTAAGTCCCGTGTCAGGGTAGGCGCTGGCACGATAAAGAACCCTCACTGCTCAATGGCCCTGAGTGCCGAGTATTGGTCTTAATTTGAAGCCCTTCACCGGCATACGGTGACGTCTCCACATGAGTGAAAAATTCTCAAGAGGGACGTTACACAATATACAATCAATCAGAAGTGAAAATCACGCGTCTTTCGTATATGACCTTAAAAACATAGGTCCCGTGTCACGGTAGGCGCTGGTACGATAAAGAATCCTCACTGCTCAATGGCCCTGAGTGCCGAGTATAGGTCTAAATTTGAAGCCATTCACCGCCATACGGTCAATCATATTTAAGAAGAATTGTAAAGGGAACCAGATAGCTTATTCATCAGTTAATGCAATAACTCAGAAAGCAAACACACTTGCTACAAGAAATAGTGTGAAGAGAATACAATAGAGAAAAATAACTACGACTAAAGAAGACCTCTTAGAAGAATTTGGAAAAAAAATAGAGCAGGAGAGGTGGAAAGGTGAGGTACAAAGAGACGGACTGACAGAAAAGAAAGGGAAAATACAGAGCTTGATAACAAACAAAAAACTCTGAATTCTCCAAATATAAGCCCTTAAGACCCTGTCGGTGAACTGGAGAAAAAACGCAAGGGAAGTCTGCAGTTGTTGATTCTGCAAAAAGCCTGTTGTGATAGGGATGTAGCAAAAAGACATTTTCGTTGAGATCAAAGCAAGAGAAACGAACACGCATTAACATAATGAGTTAAAGGCATTTTTCAAAAGATCAGATATTTCTTAAAAATATCCGTTAGAGAAGCATATCATAAATACAAAATCAGGGAAACGTAGGTTACGGTACATTTGCCACACTCTGACCAAGAAATGTACAGTTACTTACTAGAGCACACAGAGTATTGTGTTTACTGATATTTCTTGAATATAAGAAATAAACTACTGAACTTACCAGGAAATCACCCGGTCAAAAAAGAATCAATGAAGCTGTAGTGTTAGAAATACTTTCATGCCCTTAAGTCACCACTTTTTTTCAGTAGAATACATTGAAAAAACGTGTAGTAAATGCATTAACTATAATAAAACATTAGAAACTATTAATAAGCAAATACCTGAGGACAAAGAGCTGTCATGGGATCGATGTATGTATCAGTATAGGTAGAAAAACTTGGCAGGAAGGAGTTGTTACATAAATAACGCATATTGCATGAATGCATATGGCTCGCCATTGCGCGATCCTTGGTACAACAAACAAACGAAATACATAGCTATGTTTAAAAATGCTGCCTTTTCCGAATTTGTGGATTTCATGATGCCTGGACCATTAAAATGTAATTTTAAAAAATCTTCTTTACTCCTGGACATCAAGCAGTCAAACTTTTTCCATGATCGTAATCAGCATCGAGTTCTCTACCAAATATGTCAAATCCATGGCCTTGGGGTCAAGGGTTCTAATATTAGGGCGCAGTTATATATATTATTTAGTGAACATTATCATTGCTTTGAAATTCTTCTCTACTCCTGTGTATTCAATAAACAAACCAAATACATAGAATGTTGCCTATTCGAAAGTTGTGAATTTCATGACCCTGGGGTTGGGGGTTCTGGTGTTACTCTGGGGCTCTATCGATTAGGCTGTTTAAAATTAAATAACTTTTCCCACAAGAAGAAGCATTTGCCTCCAGGGTACCATGGACGTGTGGCAATATAAACCCAAGAGGTCTTTGGCACTTCCAGGGATACTTCAGCTTCTAATTTTCCTCCCGTTCGTGGCCACGGGTGCTTTTCATCAAGTTGTAGGCGACACCGTCCATGTGTCGAAATCCACTGCGGGGCGATGCATAAGAAGAGAAGCCTCAGCGCTTCAGTCCATTGCTGCAGCTTTTATCAGTTTCCCCACAGGACAAGATGCTACCAATGTCAAAAGAAAATTCCATGCTATCGCAGGTAAGAATCGCAACTTTCACTTCATCCGTTCGTGACCTTCACATTAAAAACACATCAACACGTTTCGGTCTATAAGCTTTTCGGTTCAAACTTTTCGACCCATATCAAAGTTCACTTTTAAAAGGGATTTATAAGTTTCCTACGTTTTAAAAATAAGAAAATAAATAACTAAAAATCCCTTGCAATTTTTTTATTGTCTTCCTTATATTATGTTTTGATGATGTTGTATTGTTACTAAATTACATACAAGGGCATATCAGATAGAAAATGGGGGGGGGGGGGTGTAACTTCAAAATAACACATATTGTACATTAAAATCCTAACCATTTTTTTTTTACATTTCATAATTTTACTGTCATGTTCATTAAAGAATCATATTATTTTTGGTACATTATCTTCATAATTATACTTTTTCAATTGTATTATTCTTAAAATTTAAAGGGTAAAAAATAATTAAAGTTTAATTAATTAAATTAACTAAAAAATAAAAATAGAAAACTGAGGGGAGAATTATTCTTTGAAACTTGTAGGGTGCCCTGGAGTGTTGGGTGTGTGTTGATGGTACTTTTATCCGCATCCAAACTCCTACTGAAAATGAGCCGGATTACATAAACAGAAAAGGATATCATTCTTTAAATGTCATGGTAATGATTTTTTAAATTGTTTAATATCAAAGGAGGTAAATAAGTTTTCAATGATATAATTTAGTTAAAATATAATAAGGTATGCAACAAATCTACTTAATATATTCTGTATGTTTTACTGTAACATTGATTTTTAAAGAGAAATAATCTATATATTTTGAAAAAAAATGGCAAATGAAAACATATATTTTAAAATATTTC